GAGATCTACCTGCCTCTGCCTCTAGAGTGCTGGGATTAATTTTAGGCATGAGCCACCACTGCCCCGCCTTTCTCCAGCTTTTGAGATAATCTCAAAGATTATAGAGTTTTGAGGGGATACTAAGCATTCAGTGTAGAGGTTCAGGACATAGCCAGTCCTGATTTAGACTGGATGGAAGGAGCACCCGATAGAAACATGTACTGCAAGCTGTGAGCTGCCTCAGAGCCTGTCCTCTGGAATACATTCTGGGTGGGCAACATCATTTCAAACTGAGATGTTTTCTTTTGTTTCCTCTTCCCTCTTCAAAGGGTTGTTGTTTAGACTGGGGTGGGGGTAGGAGTACTTCCAGGAAGTTACAGAAATGGGGAGTACAGACAGGAAAGGGTCCTGAGTGGAAGCTGAGACTTGCAGCAAGAGACCATGACTATTTTCTCAATGCTGTTCCTATTCTGGATGTCAGTGAACTTAAGTGCCTGATTCCACCTGGCCTTCAGTGGGAATGCATCATTGCAAGCCAGATCACTGGCCATGTAGACTTTGCGCTTTACCACAGATGATCTTGTTTCAGCCCGGGGGGGGGGGAGGGAGGCGCCCTCTTCCAATTACTTCTGGAAGAGTTACTCCCAGGAGACCCCCCCCCCAATACACTAAACTTAATATTTCCTTGCCTTCCGGGATGCTGACATTTTGTGATGAATGCTAGGAATCTAATGCTCTTTGCTGGTCATCAGTGAAGGCCCTAAAATTGCTCTCACCAAAGTCACCACCCGCTGACCCCAGCGCGCCCTCGCCCCCCCCCATCCCCCCACTGCTGCAGACCTTGAGGTCCTGCTCCAGGCTGCGCAACAGCTCGCCATCAATTTCGCCGGTCTGCGCGTAGCGGAGCCTTTTGCGCTCGGCTTTGCGGAGGCGGTACTGCAGGATTCTGCAGTTTTTGTTGGCTCTCTCCAACTCATGGCGCATCTCCTGCAGTTGACAGGCGTCTTCCTCGAAGAAAGTATCCCTCATCTCATCCATCTCGGTCCTCAGCTCATCGATCTCGTTCTGAGATGGTGACAGGCCATGGGTCACAATCAGCCTTGTCTCTAGCCCCTCGGATACACACCGCATACACCCCATGCCTACTCCCAATACCGAGGTTTACAGCCCCCTTCTCCACCAGACAGGAGTGACAGGGGGCTGAAAGCAAAGACTAGAAAACCAGGCCTAGTTTAGGCCTTCTTTCGTTCTGTTACTCCAGCTCTCTCCGCCTTTGAGAAAGTGGGGCAAATCACGCTAATCAGATAAATGAAGGCCTAGATTTGGTTTTAAATGAACCTTAACCGTCTTAATATTACGTTCCGTTTCAAATTGGGAGCAGGCCACGGACCTCCCTCACCTTCCTAGTTTCCCTCCCTCCCTGTGGCCCTAACAGGTTAGCAGCCTTCCAACCCTGCCGGGACACGCCCTAATCCTCGGAGGCCCCACACTTCCCCTCCCCCATTCGGTCCCCACCCCCTATCCTCCTCACCTTGAGAGTCTCGTTCTCCTCCCGCAGCTTCTCCATCTCTTCCTGCATATCTCCCTGCTCCTGGAGCTGCTGCGGGTGCGACTGCGAGGAAGGAGGAGCCGCCGCCTGCATGGCCCCGCCGCTGCCGCTGCTCTCGGCGCTCTGTTGGGGGCCTTCAGCGGCTGCCGCCATTGGGGAGGAGGAGGGGACCACAAGGGGCTCACAGATGGTAGGGGTGCCCGCGACCGGGGAGCTGCGGCTGCCACCGCCACCGTTTTTAGTGTGCATCTGAGCTGCGGCCGCCGCCGCTGCTGCCCGCTCCTTCTTGAGATGAAACTGGATGAGCTCAGACTGCAGACATCCCTCCTTCCAATAGCTCCCTCCACCGCCGCTGCCGCCTCCTGCGATGCCGCTTCCAGAGTTTCTGTTGCCCGGGCCGGGGGCTCGACTAGCAGCAGCGGTGGGTGGCGAAGGGGAGCCCCCCTCCCCGCCGCTGCTACCCCTCTGCGATGTACGGACGCCTTTCGCTCGCCAAACCCTGGGCGGCGGCGGCTGCGTAGCGCCCCCCTCCCGGTCCCCCGGGCCACCGGCGGCTCCTCCTCCTTCCCCGCCCCCTCCTCCTCCCCCTAGTGGAGGGGGTTCCCCGACTTTCGAGAGCACCGATTCTATCTCCCGGGGTGGCTCCTCCGGCGGCCCGGGCCTCCTGCAGCCCACAGAGGCCAGGATCGCCGCTTGCGACCCTTCAGCACCAGGCGCGGGCTGGACAGTTCCTGAAGCAGCCCCTTTGGATACCACTGGCGCAGCCTTCTCCGCCCCGCCTCCGCATCCTCTGGAGCCGGCCCCAGAGGCGCTGCGACCTGTTATCTTGTTACCCTGCTGTTGTTGCTGCTGCAACAGCTGCTGCTGCCGAACAGAATTGTGTTTAGAGCCGACCCCAAGCGGTGACCGCGTGGCTGCCGAGGTCTGTCTAAAAGAATTGTCCCTAGGCCTAGCAGGTGACTGAGCCCGCTGCTGCTTTCTGCTGCTGCCCTCCGGGTGCAGGCGAGCCTCCGTGGCTGCGGTGGCGACGCCAGAAGCTGAGGTTGCAGCTGGGGCAGCGCCCCCGGATGGTGGCTGACTCATGGCAGTCTAGGAAGAACCTACCGGATGCGACTTGGAACCGTCCATCTCTAGATCATTCTCGTCTCTCCTTTCTGCCACCAACCTTCCTTCCTAAACTGGGGCGGGAATAAAAGAAGAGAAATATACAATGTGTTTGCGCTGTTGCAGAGTCAAAGGTGAATTTGCTGGACAAAAGAAGCTGCAGAGGATTAGGAGATTTGGAAAGACAGCTTTTAATGAAAGCATTGACTAGGAAAAGGGTGCAGGGCTGTTAATTTTCACTTTGCCCAAAGTGGCGCTGTTTCCATCTTAGTCCATCTCAGTCAAAGGCAGCTGAAGCTTGAGTTCCCTAGGAAGCAGGTTTTGGAAAGGGTTAGACACAAGTTCATAAAGAAATGAATGGGAAAAGGAAATGGTGGAGGGGGCAGAGGGATAAAATCTGGAAGAGACTTTTGGAGGCAAAGGGAATGTTTACATATGATAGTTGTCAAAGGGCTTTCCTCAGCATCAAATCTGTATTTAAAACATAGTTTAGTGGAGACAAGTTTTAATCAATTAATATTCCCAGGTGTCAGTTAAAGAAACATGGTTATTATGTAAGGCCTACAGAATATTTAATATAGATAAATGACACTTTTCTCATTCAGCTCCAGCTGCTAAAGCTGTCATTACATAATTATAGCCAACTTTCTTTAGAACAGAGCACAAAAGAAAATGTAAAGAGTGACTGGAAATCAATTCCAGTTTCAAGAAAAAAGTATTATCAGGAGTAAGAATCAGACACTGGCAACCCCAAGGAAATTATTTTTGTAACTTAAAAACCTCTCTCTCTCTCTCTCTCTCTCTCTCTCTCTCTCTCTCTCTCTGAAACTTGATGAGCAGCTCTTCTACAGGCTGTGAATTTTTTAGTGGTGAATTCATCTACACTTACTTGTTCTGTCCTTAGGAAGCACTGAGTCGTAAGTGCAATGTAGAGAGTTTCATTCTTAAATATCTCCTTAGGTGGTATATAACAGACTAAGCTGACTCTAAAATGCCCACTCATGGGCCAGGAGAGATGGCTCAGCAGTTAATAGCACTGGCTGCTCTTCCAGAGGACCCAAGTTCACAACTGTCTGTAACTCCAGTTCCAGGGAATCCGACACCCTCTTCTGGCCTCCCTGGACACCAGGTCCATATATGGTACATAAATATACAACCAGACAAAATACTCACACACATAAAATGAAATTTAAATTCAATGACGTTAGAATGCTCACTCACTCCTAGGGAGCCAAATTTTGGAACAGAGCATCCTGCACCCAGAACACCATTCATCTTCCTTTATGGTGGGGCACGTGGTGTTATCTTTCCAAAATAAGCATACTAGTTTAAACTGGAAAACAGCAAGGTACTACACTGTGGGTTTTCCTTCTTAGTGACCCAGTCAGTTAGTTTACTTGCCCCCCTTTCCAGGGGAACAGTATTTATCTACAAAACATGGGAAGGCCATGATTAGACACAAACTTCTCTTAAACACACACACACACACACACACACACACACACACACACACACACCTTTTAGGAGAGATGAGTTCCCAGTATCTTACTTACATTATTAATGTTATTGTCTGCTGTAAGCATCTTAATTGAAGATGTAATCGTTTCTCTTTCCATAAAGAAATAGTACCCAAATTTCCCTTCTCCACTTCATTTTCTGTCTCTGGAATCTCCTTTCAGCTCACTTGCAATACAAAGATAAACAAAGACTACTTCAGAAGGGAAAACAAAGTTATCCACTGCTAGACTGTCTGGCCTACTTTACCATGGATCAGACTAATGTGGGCCATCCAATAATTATACTGACAATACAAAGTTATATTTAACTAAGCAGAACCACCCAGTAGCTGAGAAGCCGTACATTGAAGCGTGACCCGCAGACTACTTTAACCTCAGAGAAAACTTGGGTTACAGGAACTAACTCCACAATCTAAGACACCTGGCAGCTGTCACTTGCTCCTTAACAGAGGGACAATTACTATATCCCAAGGCTTTCTCCAGTAGAAATCGCCATCCAACCAATTTCAGTAAGGACCAAATCACCCCTTTCCACCTCAAATCCTTTCTGTCCCAAGACCACCCCCCCCGGCGCCTCCCGGTTTCTCATCCTCATCTCTTTAGAAATCCAGAAGTTCTCACTTCTCTGCTGAGGTGCTACTTCCAGAAAGTTGATGCAAATCCACACTGCTTTCTTCCTGATATTTCCGAGACCTCCGAGGTTATTTTTCTATCTTCAGAGAAAGAGATCAACTTCGTAGTGTTATGAGAGACTTTCTTGCTGAGCAGGCTCGCTTGCACAGGATCCACACCCACTCGGGTTCTCCAAACAAAGGCGGTAACCACAAAGCCTATCGGAACTCTGGGAGCGGGTTCCCAGCTGGTGATGCTTGGCTGAGCTGGAACTGCAACTGCAGCAGGCTGATGCTCCGGGTACCAAGCCGTGCCAGACACTCCCCAGGAAGTGCAGCGGTATGCATGAGCTGACCTCACTGGACTGGGCTGGAAAGAGGGCGGGATTGGAGGGAGGGCAGGAGAGAAGTAACCAGTGGTTACTTAAAGAGGAAAGAGAAGGTGAGGATGGGGGACCGGGGTAGCGGTGGGTGGAAGGCAAGAAGACAAAAAGGCCAGAGCCACGCCCGAGATGGAGAATTATCAGCCTGGCTCATCAAAATCCTTGCTCCACTCCCACTTCCTGTACTTGGCAGAAGACTCCCAAACCGCTTAAAATCGGATGTATTGGTTTCCTGCAAAGCTTTGTCTCAGGTCCGATCAATCTCCATCAATTATTTACTTGAGCTGTTTTCCTTGGGAGGCCAGTGGGAGCAGCCTGCACGCTCGATCTGACCCTCTGGAGTCTCCTGATGCAGCTGAGAGGCGCTGGCACGAGGCTTCCGGGAGTTCTCTTTGTTCACTCACTTTAATTCTCAGCCGAGCTCTCCATGCGCGGCTTCTTCCCCACCCCCAGCTCGGGCGGAGTCCTGGGATGGCTTTTCTGCGAATAGACAATGGTTGTCAGACCCACCGTCCCACAAACAAAGGGTTCTTGAAAAGATACAAAGAAACGACTAATATAGTGCAAACCGAACAAATAGGTGCTTCCAGGACAGTTGCTGCTGATGGTTGAGTAGTACGGGGCTCATTTTCCCTTCCCCTCACCAAGGGCTAGTTTCTTCAGTGAAACAAACTGGTAGTTTCTGAGATCCACATTTTTTTTTGTTTTTTACTGTTGTGCTCATGAGTAATACGAGTTAGGAAGAATGCATATATAAAGTATCAGCTGAACAGGAGTTAAGAAAAATGTGTTTCCAGTTTACATTTATCCATATTGTTCCACAGTAATGATATTAAAATTTGAGGGAAAATTTTCCGCTCTCTTCTGATTTTATTTTAGAGAGCTGGGTCAAGAACCTCCTTTCTACTCCTAAAAATCCCCTTGTAAGCTTGCAGGTGAGAATATATTAACATTGTATTAAAAGGGCATTTTTAGAGGCCAAACCTCTTACATTGTTGTGGTGGGTTTGGGGGGGGGCTAAGACTTAGATATTTTTGCAACAATGTGTCTAGCCTAGCGGCAATTTAGCAGGAGCCTTCATTTTATGAGTATAAATTTTCCTGTCTTAAGAGTGAAATGAAAATGATTTGGAGTAATTTGCATAGAAATAGTTTGTCAATGTGAAATGAAAGCATGTTTAAGCCTGGGTTATTTATATCTTCAGTGACATCAAACATGGTATCACAAGGAAATCATTTCAGACTGTAAAACAGATGCTATGAACTGGTTTGTAGCCAGTACTGTCCAAGGTGCTGGCGATACAAGGAAAGTCACGAACTATTCTCTGCCCTGAAGGCTCAAAGGTATCGGTGAAAGTTGAGATACTTGAGATATTGTACTTATTCTTGAATACCGGGAGATGGAAAAGTGACCCCTGTGATATCTATGTCGAGATGTTCAATCACTGATTTGCATACCAAAAATAGAGCCACAAGTTATTTTGAGTTTATGTTAAACACTTCATTATGCAGACCAATATAAATGGCAGTACTCTTTCTGTGTGTGTCTTTGTTTTTGAGACAGGTTTCAGGATGTAGTCCCAGGTGACCTGGAGCTCACTGTGTACACCAGGCTGGACTCAAGCATCTGCCTCCTGGGTGCTGGGATTGAAGAAGTGGCACTCCAAGCCCAGCCCTCTAAATTGCAACATTCTTAAGAAACAGCGAGATCCACATTTCCCATTTAATGAAAACTAGGATAATAGTTAAAATACCTTTTAAATCAATCTTTATAAATAACACATTGACATAAAAATTATCTAGGAGCACAAAACACAGTCCCACTTGTCTGATCAGCTTCGACGTCTCCATTTCAGTAACTTATTTCCATGCTGTCAGTAACTTTTACTCAGTGAAAGTCTAATAATATCAAGAATGCTTAAATCAGAGTTCATGTGCCCCAAAGGTTTGTTTTGTACTTTAGGGGAGTGCAGTCTAAGTGCTGAGAACCACAGCCATATGGGATAAATAGAAGCAATGTTGAAGTGTCTTTACAAATAAAGAATTTAAATAGAATTTCATTTTGGTTACTTCCTTATTTTCTTGTGAAAATTACACTTTGGCACAGGGCTGGAGAGGTAACAGAGTTGTTGAGGTCACTGGTTGTTCTCATAGAGGACAGAGGTTTAGTCCCTGGTGCCCACATGACAGCTTACAACGGGTTGTAGATACAGTTGCAGGGGATCTGATGGCCTATTCTGATGACATTGCACACGCATGTCACCCATATATATATCCCTACACATAAAATAAAAATAAGCAGATATTTGAAAAAGTTACACTACTTCTATTAAGCAAACAACAAAGATGATTACACAGATTTTTTCAGAGTTCAGAAGGCTTAGCCATTATTTTTGCTGTGTCAGAAGCAGGCTAACCTGCTGACCTTTGATTATTTTCTTGAAATACTGAATCATCTTTTCTATAGTACAGCAAGAAAATGAATTTATCTTCAGTCCCTGGAAGAAAACTAACCTTTCAATTTTCAAGCCCTTAAATACCTAACTTAATACATGAATCTCCAATTTTGTGACTTTAACGAGGCCTGAGTATTTTAATATTGACTATTTTTATCTTTTCCTCTTAGTTTGTCAGAGATTTTCATGCAGTAAACTCAAATCCCCCACAAAGAAAATTCTCCCTTCCTCAGGTATAACACAGTAGTATACCTGTGGTCCAGAGAGATTAAGTGACTTTCTCAACTTTGTAATTGGAGCTCAAAGTTCCATCTTTCATTATCAATAATGCTTCTTATTTGTCTCCAGTTATCACAACTTAAAAATCTACACATCTAAGGCTGATTTATCTCCATATCTCAGCTCAATCTGTCTATACATAAATAATCCATGTTTGTGGGTAAAACTATTACTTTACATTTTAGGAGAAAATTTTCTGTCCTACAATTCTATTCCACTTGTAGTTTAGGAAAAAATCTGATATGCTTTGTTTATTTTCATCTCAATGAAATTTTATATATTTTCTCACTGAACATTGATTTTTTTCATTGCTGTCATTTTCCTTTGTTTCAATATCCACTTGTCTTGAAAATACATTTTTGGTGTGTGTGTGTTGCTGGGAACCAACGTCAGGGCCTTGTGCATGCCAGTTCTTAATTCTACTGCATTGAATCCACAGCTGTTCTGACCCTCTGTTCTTTGTTTTATAATCACCAGCAAAATCCAGACATTCACAATTATGTTTAGATTGTGGCAAACACTTCTTATTTTAAGTTATAGATGTTTAAGATGGGTATGATGGGTATGGGAGTCCACACTTGTAACTCCAGCTGAAGCAAAGGTATTGGCATGATTTCAAAGCGAGCCTGGGCTATATAGTGATTTCTATTCAAACATGGGAGGCAGTGTTAGACCTTGTTTTAAAAAACACCACACACACACCAAGAATCAACAATAGAATGATATGCTCAATACTTCCTGTTTCTATTTATATTAGATATTTTCGTTTTTTTCCCTGATAGTCATATTCAAATGCTGAATTTCAAGGAAGCACATCATCATTATCTGTACCAAAAAGTACTTCCTAATCAGTTACAATGGTGCTCCCAACCTACAAAGATTCAGTCTCTTCCTTTAATGATACAAAGTTGGAGTTTGCTAAGAAAATTGTTTTAATACTGTTATGAGTATGGAAAGAGAAGGAAAGAAGGGGAGAGAGAAAGAAAACAGTTAAAGCCATGTACATGCAAGGATTGAGTGAGAATTTCAATAGAGACAAGAGGCAGCTATTAAGTTGTATTTTATTGGCTTTTGATTAAGTAGAAATTATTATTGTATAATTATATTTACTTAAAGGACATTCTTTAGTAAATGAGAATATAAATTTCTTATTTATTTTTTGTTTTTGTTAGGGTCTCACACTATACAGGCTAAAAGGCAACAAGAGTTTTTAAAGGGTCAAAGGAACTCTTATTATTTATAGACCAGAAAGTGGTCAGGGACCCTGTTCTGAGTGTGAATGTAGCTCATAATGCAGTTTGTGAGATTTTTCTCAAAAACTCACAAGTTTACAGAAGAATAAAAAACATGGGTAAATGCAAAGATAATGTGTGTTTAAGTCACTAGCATAGTTCATTTTAGCGTGCTCCATTAGTTGTTTTAATGCCCTTTCTGAAACATCATTTTACAAGGAGAGGTGTAAAATATTGTTTTCATGCAGGCCATCTTCACAGTGTTGTTGTTGTTAGATGATACAAAATTCTTGGCACTCAGCCTAGGAGACATAAACATGGTCCTAGAAGTGAGGGTTTCCTTTCCTTTCACAGGTTCCCCTGATCTTCTTGGTCTTTCTATCTCATCAATTTCTATTTCTGAGATGTTGGGGCATGGTTTCAAGAACTGGTGATGATGGCAGAAGTTCCAACATCTGTAGTTTCTTCATCCCTGCTTAACAGAACTTTATGCCTTACCTGTCTAGAGATGGAAGCCTTGACCTATCCTACCTAGGAGGAACATGAGAAGGTTTTAGTGTCAACACTGAGGAGTGTTATTTGATAGTAGTCTCAAAGAAAATATGGCCTTACTTTAGATACCAAATTGCATAAACTAGAATATAGCAAGTTTGATCTGCCTAACCCTAAATTTGCACCAAGAATATTTTTCCACCATGAGATGTCTGCAAAATCTGATTTTATCAAGTCATTTACTTTTAATGCGGACTCTGACATAGATGTCATTTGGTTTTACAAACTTGGAAGACTGAAGAACACGTTGACCAATTGTCAGATAAGTATAGAAAGCATTTGCCTTTTTTGAGCTTCAATGTTTTTTTAACAAATACATTTTATTATATGTTCATACATACCACATATATTGCTATACTATTTGTGTGTGTGTGTGTGTTTGTGTGTGTGTGTGTGTGCGTGTGCGCATGCTTGTGTATATTTGGGTGCATTGTATGGAGGGTAGACAGACTGATGTTAGGTCAATTAGTGTTTTGAAAGAGGTCTCTTCTAAACCTGGAAAGCATGGGCATAACATGACTAGCTGGCTATTTTCGTTTCCCCAGCACTTTTTGTGTGGATTCTGCTGCTTGAGTCCAGGTTCTCATATTTACATGGCCAACATTTTTCTTGCTGTGATTCTGTAAAATGATTCAGGAAATTCTTATCACAGTGAGTGGACCGTGGTGTTTGTAACTATTGATAAGCAGTGACTACAGTGTGTATGGCATTGTAAGCTGCCAAGAGGTATTAGCCGTCATCTTTACCATTAATGCTACTATGTTTCTATATACAAGTTTTCTAGTCCTAAATTTATATAGGATTAATGCTATACAGATAGAATCACACACTGCACTGTGCAGTGTTTTGTGATTGTACATCTAGACAGTAAGTATCTTAAGGTAAAATCTTCTCCAAGGAAGAGTGGGAGACCCGCAAGCTGGTAAGTATATGTAAATCCCTTAGAAGGGTCCTACCAGAAAAAAAAGAGGCTGCTAAGGTTGGATTTAGTCTCATTCTTGCAGAAGTACTTAAGCTGGAAGATGTGTCATTGTCCTGACCTTTACTGGCATGCGTATGAGGTCACACACCAAATTTGTTTTCTGGACTATACTTTAGATAATAATGAATCACAGTGTCCTTGGGCTGTAGACACCATGATTCATCTTTCTACTTCTAAGTAGGCTACTCAAATCATATTATACATGAATTCAGCATGATTCTGGACATCTCAATAAATGAACTTGTATGGTTTCTCTGATTAAATGTACAGTTTTGTGGGGACACCAGACCTTGAACAGAGACCCACTTCCCCTTCGGCCTGGGAGCAGGCAGCTGTGAGATAATGTTTACTGAAAACAATTCAGTGCTATAAAGCCTTGATAGGGCTCAGATAAGGGCTTGCTCACGCTCACTGAAACACCATGACTTTGACACCCCCTACGGCTAGATGCTTCTTCCTGTTCTCCCTGCTGTTTCTCCCCCAATTCTGGGGCCGGAGATTAAACCACCAGCCAGGAGGGTGAGAAGTCTGGGAGAGTTGTTGGAGAATTGTATGTAGATGGATGGCAGAAGTCCTTAAAAAGGGAAGCGTTTTTTTTCTTGGAGAGACTTCTCCTAAACTGACTTGGGAAGCATAAAGTTTTCTTAAAGCAACCGACCGGTCTCTGTGTCATCTATCCCGACCACCTTGCTACATTCTCGGATGCAGGCTGCACAGCAGGTGTGACACAGTTTGTTCTTGTTTTCTTTTTGAGACAGGGTCTCATGTAGCTCATGCTGGCTTTGATCATGACATGTAGTCAAGAATGACTTTGAAATTCTGATCCCCATGCCTCCACCTCCCAAGTGCTTGGATTATAGACTGTGCCACCAAGACAATAAGCTGCTAATTACCACGAATACTTACCTATGCTCTTGCTTTTGTATGCACTTGCAGTTGGGACTTACATAACCAAACGATACATTTCTATAAATGTTTATAAACACTAACTTTTGTAATTCAGCACTATTTTTAAGCATTCATTGTAGCCAAAATATGGATGAATAACTGGTTTCAATTCAGCCTCATTTTCAATCCTGTCTGCATCTTAGTGGAAGATGTCAACGAGTCCATTATTTATTTTACAAATACTTTTTATATTTATGATTGCCATTAACTTTTCCTCTGCTATTAGCAGATAATTAATTCATAGCCAGCAGATTCTTTAATGACCCTTGTCTCACCTTCTGTTCATTCTCTGGTAGCTGTTGGCATTTGTGAATAATTAGTGTGCTCTAAAATGAGCACAACAGACCAAGAAGAGTAACATCACAAATTACTTCATATTTCACTGGAAATTTTTGGTATATGATCTGCATTTGTAGTTGCTATCTTTTGAAAATAAAATGACACTAGGACACATGCTAGCTAAGAACTTACTGTAAATAAATGTCAAATATATACGGATATAAAACATATATATATAAACTCAATATTAAATGTAAAAATGAACAGCGCTAAAGTCAACAGATAACTTTATGAAAATGACAGAAATTGATTCATGGTAAGCATGTA